TGTGTGTGTGCGTGCGTGTGCGTGCGTGCGTGCGTGCGTGTGTGTGTGTGTGTGTGTGCATGTGTGTGTGAGACTAATGCGTGTGCTGTGGCGCTGCAGGAGGTGTGAGTGTTCAGCGTCTGGATTCAGCTGCTGTCAGAACCTACTCCTGCTGATCGTCTCAGGTGAGTCTCCATCATCACATGATCTGAACACGAGCTTCTACAGAGCCTTCCTCTCGTTTACTGCTGAACGAGTCTTTGAAAGACCATGGAAATACATCAGTTAATCAAGCATTTTATTCAATGAAAACAAATGGTACAAATGTTCTATTATCTGACCAACTGAAAATTTGTATTGCGTTTTGTTTCTGAAATCTGAACGTGCTGAATGATGTCCAGAGGTTGTTCTGAAGCTCTTAAAGGAACCTGCGGCTGCTCTGACGGGACGACTGTAGACTGTCTCTCGGATACATCTGGCCCATATTTAAAGTCAGCATGCATAGTAGTCTCCATTAGTAGACAAGGCATCTGGTTGGCGCTCGTGTTCAGCTCCGGTTGCTTTGTGAAGGTGTTCTGGTGTTTCTAGCACTCGTTCAGCACAAACACATGCTCTCAGAAACGCTTCTCCTGCTCCAGCTGCCCGTTTGCTCTCTCACATGTACAGCACTCAGAATCATAACAGTTCTTACCTGTTATTATAGTCAGTTCTTCATGCTTCTGCTGTGGGATTCTGAAGAATGAAATTCTGCTGAACCGATATGTTCTCATTCTCTAACTCTAGAATAAAGTTGCAAATATTTTGCATTCCCAGAAACACTGATAATGTTCTCATCTCTTTTTCTTAAGATTGTTCTAAAGACAGAACTTTCATTTTGAATTCCTGAAAAGATTGTTTGTAAAGATCATTTTAATATTGAGCATTACAGCATAACTCTAGCCATAAAGACATTGCATATTACTATTACTGCTGTGAAGCGAACAGGACTTCATCTTCAGCACATAACATCGCTAAAGCCTGTCCCTTCCTCCTTCTCAAGAAAATTGTTGAGATATTTCAAGAACGGCACTGAGGAAAATTCTTCTGAACTTCTTGGACTTTATCTTAAGGTTTTAACTTCTTTCTTATGAATGTGCATGTGTATCGCTCTCATTCCCGTGGTATTTCCTGTTCCTGTGCGCCGGTGACGTGCCGTGTGTGTTTGGTCCTGCAGGTGCAGCAGAAGCGGACGAGGCCCGTCAGGCTGGAGTTTCAGAGGATGAGGATCGGTTTGGTTTCTGTCGCAGACCCGTGATCCGTCAGAACTCTGTCAGCGTCTGCCAGCAGAAACGTTAGATTCGACGCCTCTATTCATGTAAACCGAGGGACGTTCACTAATTTAGCAGTCTCGTATCGACTTTTGCTTGATTTTATTTGGTCACCTTTTAATTCTGGCGTCCTAATTCAGTTCAACTCTTTTAGCTGTAATTTATGTATCACAAGTCCAAAGTTTGTACATTTCCGTCTGTAGACGTAATCTAACTTTTATCATTCTCTGTGAGTATTTTTATCTGCTACTTATTCCTTTTGTTTAATTCATCCGGCTAAAAGTACTTTGTGTGATTTATCTTAACTTTGCTCTTCTCTTAATTGATTTTCCTCTGTTGATTGTGAGAAAGTGGCCCGAATCAATGGCGTTGCGTGAATATCTGGGTTGGTACGTGTTTTATATCCTCTGATACCAAATCAAACCCTTGGATAAGCCATAATTTGTAATAATTATGAGGGCTATTTTGAATACATCTTTCTACAGATGTGATCATGATGCAAGGTTTTTCTAGCATCTGTTTCTGAAAGTTGCTGTTTATCCATTCCCTGTGCTGCATTAGAGGTGTGTGTGTGTGTGTGTGTGTGTGTGTGTGTGTGTGTGTGTGTGTCTGTGACAGTGAGTGCGTGTGTGTGAGAGAGACTGTGACAGTCAGTCAGTGAGTGAGTATGTGTGTGTGACTGTGACTGACAGTGTGTGAGTGTGTGTGTGAGTGAGTGACTGAGTGAGTGTGTGTGTGACTGACTGAGTGAGAGTGTGTGTGACGGTGACAGTGAGTGAGTGAGTGAGTGTGTGACTGACAGTGAGTGAGTGAGTGAGTGTGTGACTGACAGTGAGTGAGTGAGTGAGTGTGTGACTGACAGTGAGTGAGTGAGTGAGTGTGTGACTGACAGTGAGTGAGTGAGTGAGTGTGTGACTGACAGTGAGTGAGTGAGTGAGTGTGTGACTGACAGTGAGTGAGTGAGTGAGTGTGTGACTGACAGTGAGTGAGTGAGTGAGTGTGTGACTGACAGTGAGTGAGTGAGTGAGTGTGTGACTGACAGTGAGTGAGTGAGTGAGTGTGTGACTGACAGTGAGTGAGTGAGTGAGTGTGTGACTGACAGTGAGTGAGTGAGTGAGTGTGTGACTGACAGTGAGTGAGTGAGTGAGTGTGTGACTGACAGTGAGTGAGTGAGTGAGTGTGTGACTGACAGTGAGTGAGTGAGTGAGTGTGTGACAGTGACAGTGACAGTGAGTGAGTGTGTGACTGACAGTGAGTGAGTGAGTGAGTGAGTGTGTGACAGTGACAGTGACAGTGAGTGAGTGTGTGACTGTGACTGTGACTGAGTGAGTGTGTGTGTGACTGTGACGGTGAGTTAGAGTGTGTGTGACTGACTGAGTGAGTGTGTGTGTGACTGTGACGGTGAGTTAGAGTGTGTGTGACTGACTGAGTGAGTGTGTGTGTGACTGTGACGGTGAGTTAGAGTGTGTGTGACTGACTGAGTGAGTGTGTGTGTGACTGTGACGGTGAGTTAGAGTGTGTGTGACTGACTGAGTGAGTGTGTGTGTGACTGTGACGGTGAGTTAGAGTGTGTGTGACTGACTGAGTGAGTGTGTGTGTGACTGTGACGGTGAGTTAGAGTGTGTGTGACTGACTGAGTGAGTGTGTGTGTGACTGTGACGGTGAGTTAGAGTGTGTGTGACTGACTGAGTGAGTGTGTGTGTGACTGTGACGGTGAGTTAGAGTGTGTGTGACTGACTGAGTGAGTGTGTGTGTGACTGTGACGGTGAGTTAGAGTGTGTGTGACTGACTGAGTGAGTGTGTGTGTGACTGTGACGGTGAGTTAGAGTGTGTGTGACTGACTGAGTGAGTGTGTGTGTGACTGTGACGGTGAGTTAGAGTGTGTGTGACTGACTGAGTGAGTGTGTGTGTGACTGTGACGGTGAGTTAGAGTGTGTGTGACTGACTGAGTGAGTGTGTGTGTGACTGTGACGGTGAGTTAGAGTGTGTGTGACTGACTGAGTGAGTGTGTGTGTGACTGTGACGGTGAGTTAGAGTGTGTGTGACTGACTGAGTGAGTGTGTGTGTGACTGTGACGGTGAGTTAGAGTGTGTGTGACTGACTGAGTGAGTGTGTGTGTGACTGTGACGGTGAGTTAGAGTGTGTGTGACTGACTGAGTGAGTGTGTGTGTGACTGTGACGGTGAGTTAGAGTGTGTGTGACTGACTGAGTGAGTGTGTGTGTGACTGTGACGGTGAGTTAGAGTGTGTGTGACTGACTGAGTGAGTGTGTGTGTGACTGTGACGGTGAGTTAGAGTGTGTGTGACTGACTGAGTGAGTGTGTGTGTGACTGTGACGGTGAGTTAGAGTGTGTGTGACTGACTGAGTGAGTGTGTGTGTGACTGTGACGGTGAGTTAGAGTGTGTGTGACTGACTGAGTGAGTGTGTGTGTGACTGTGACGGTGAGTTAGAGTGTGTGTGACTGACTGAGTGAGTGTGTGTGTGACTGTGACGGTGAGTTAGAGTGTGTGTGACTGACTGAGTGAGTGTGTGTGTGACTGTGACGGTGAGTTAGAGTGTGTGTGACTGACTGAGTGAGTGTGTGTGTGACTGTGACGGTGAGTTAGAGTGTGTGTGACTGACTGAGTGAGTGTGTGTGTGACTGTGACGGTGAGTTAGAGTGTGTGTGACTGACTGAGTGAGTGTGTGTGTGACTGTGACGGTGAGTTAGAGTGTGTGTGACTGACTGAGTGAGTGTGTGTGTGACTGTGACGGTGAGTTAGAGTGTGTGTGACTGACTGAGTGAGTGTGTGTGTGACTGTGACGGTGAGTTAGAGTGTGTGTGACTGACTGAGTGAGTGTGTGTGTGACTGTGACGGTGAGTTAGAGTGTGTGTGACTGACTGAGTGAGTGTGTGTGTGACTGTGACGGTGAGTTAGAGTGTGTGTGACTGACTGAGTGAGTGTGTGTGTGACTGTGACGGTGAGTTAGAGTGTGTGTGACTGACTGAGTGAGTGTGTGTGTGACTGTGACGGTGAGTTAGAGTGTGTGTGACTGACTGAGTGAGTGTGTGTGTGACTGTGACGGTGAGTTAGAGTGTGTGTGACTGACTGAGTGAGTGTGTGTGTGACTGTGACGGTGAGTTAGAGTGTGTGTGACTGACTGAGTGAGTGTGTGTGTGACTGTGACGGTGAGTTAGAGTGTGTGTGACTGACTGAGTGAGTGTGTGTGTGACTGTGACGGTGAGTTAGAGTGTGTGTGACTGACTGAGTGAGTGTGTGTGTGACTGTGACGGTGAGTTAGAGTGTGTGTGACTGACTGAGTGAGTGTGTGTGTGACTGTGACGGTGAGTTAGAGTGTGTGTGACTGACTGAGTGAGTGTGTGTGTGACTGTGACGGTGAGTTAGAGTGTGTGTGACTGACTGAGTGAGTGTGTGTGTGACTGTGACGGTGAGTTAGAGTGTGTGTGACTGACTGAGTGAGTGTGTGTGTGACTGTGACGGTGAGTTAGAGTGTGTGTGACTGACTGAGTGAGTGTGTGTGTGACTGTGACGGTGAGTTAGAGTGTGTGTGACTGACTGAGTGAGTGTGTGTGTGACTGTGACGGTGAGTTAGAGTGTGTGTGACTGACTGAGTGAGTGTGTGTGTGACTGTGACGGTGAGTTAGAGTGTGTGTGACTGACTGAGTGAGTGTGTGTGTGACTGTGACGGTGAGTTAGAGTGTGTGTGACTGACTGAGTGAGTGTGTGTGTGACTGTGACGGTGAGTTAGAGTGTGTGTGACTGACTGAGTGAGTGTGTGTGTGACTGTGACGGTGAGTTAGAGTGTGTGTGACTGACTGAGTGAGTGTGTGTGTGACTGTGACGGTGAGTTAGAGTGTGTGTGACTGACTGAGTGAGTGTGTGTGTGACTGTGACGGTGAGTTAGAGTGTGTGTTACTGTGACAGTGAGTGAGTGAGTGTGTGACTGACAGTGAGTGTGACTGAGTGTGTGTGTGTGACTGAGTGAGTGTGAGACTGTGACAGTGAGTGAGTGTGTGTGTGACTGACTGTGTGCGTGAGTGTGTGTGACTGACTGAGTGTGTGTGTGACAGTGTGACTGACAGTGAGTGAGTGTGTGACTGACAGTGAGTGTGAGTGAGTGTGTGTGTGTGTGTGACTGTGACTGAGTGAGTGTGTGTGAGACTGTGACAGTGAGTGAGTGAGTGTGTGTGACTGTGAGTGTGAGTGAGTGAGTGAGAGTGTGTGTGACTGACAGTGAGTGAGTGAGTGTGTGTGACTGTGCGTGAGTGTGAGTGAGTGAGTGAGAGTGTGCGTGACTGACAGTGAGTGAGTGTGTGTATGACTGTGACAGTGAGTGAGTGTGTGACTGACAGTGAGTGTGTGTGTATGTGTGTGACTGACAGTGAGTGTGTGTGTGTGTGTCACTGTGACTATGTGTGTGTGTTTCCTCTCAGATGGACCAATCCTCCGGTGGCCTGTCCGCTCGATCCCTGTGTCTGTATCGTAACTGTAATGAAGCCTTATATTTCTAGCCCAGTCCTGTTGTTTTCAGTGAAATTTTTAATGTGTATGTGTCAGCCTTTATGTAGGGATTGAATTGTCAGTTTTGGATGATATCAGAAGCGTAGGCTGGAATGATATCCCAGTCTCACTTTTTTGTTTTTGTAATTTTACATTCTCTAGTCACTCATGTACAATTAAAGTCATGTTACTATCTTTTTATTGTCCTTTATTTAAATAAATCTTCTGGTCCTGTAATAGAAATAATGTACAGTCTAAGTACTTATGAACTATTGTTATCACAGTATTATTTATTGCTTTCATTTCAATAAAATACTGAAACTTATTTTCCACTGCCAATAAAGATGTCTTTAAGAACGGATGATTTTCCTGCATCTTGTTATTCACTATATTCATGTTCATTAGTTGTATGATTAGTGTATTTTAATTGCATGATCTACTGATCTTCATCTCTTATTTGATTATTCTGCCTGCATTACAACTCTTGTTTTATTATTATCAACGTAAAACACTTAAGGGCTGTTTTTTGTGCACAGATTTGTCCATATTTCACCAATTAGAGCTTGATGAGGCCACTGAAACAATAAGTGATTACATTAACTTTTGTGTAGATAATGTGGTAGAAAAAAAGGATGTTGTTTATCCTAACAACAAGCCATGTATTACAAAGGACATTAAAGAGTGCATAAATAATAAAAAGCTGCTATTTAGGAACAGGGATAAGGTAGGAGGACTATTAGTGGCACAGAAAGAATTAAAATATCATTTGAAAAAAACAAAGGAACAGCACAAGCAAGCTATGGAACAGTTTTTATAATTCTAACAAGAAAACTTTGGGAAACAATTAAATTGGTTACTAACATGAACCCTGCTAAGAAACATATTACAACACTGGACAACCTACAAAGAGCAAATGAGCTAAATGAGTTTTATTTGAGATTTCAAGCACAAAATGGCTTAGAGGAATGTCATAGCATATTACAGTGTGTGTGTGTGTGTGTGTGTGTGTCTGTCTGTGTGTGTGTGTGTGTGTGTGTGTGTGTGTGTGTGTGACAGTGAGTGAGTGAGTGTGTGTGTGTGAGTGAGTGAGTGACTGTGTGTGTGTGTGTGTGACTGACAGTGAG